GAGCAGGAAGGATCTTCGCTCCAGCCACTAAATCCTCTAAAAATTATTTACTTATTAAATTACTTTTAATCCATTAATTTCTAAGAGGTCACAGGAGCAGGAAGAGAGGAGGTTGAAGAACACCAACCATGACATGTTCAATTGCAAATAACACAGTGCAGAGCAAGTCGAAACAGCTGCCGGGTGGACAGACAAAATCATAGAATCATAGAATCATAGAATGGTTTGGGGTGGAAGGGACCTTAAAGATCATCTAGTTCCAACCCCCAAAATAGATTTCTGTAGTCAAAATGACTGAATTGAGCTCCTGAATGCAAACAGCTACCAACCCCTCTAGAAAGCTGCAGCACCTAAACTCTGGAGAATGACAACAGGCACATGTACACCTCGATAAATCCAGAGTAACAGCAGCATCTGGGAATCCCGGTGATGCAAGAGACTCCGTCGTGACCACAACGCACGTCTACAACCTGACAGACTCGGCCATTGGGTCAGTTTGGTCACTTTGCATCTTACAGAGCACAGAATCATAGAATCACAGAATCATAGAATGGTTTGGGTTGGAAGGGACCTTAAAGATCATCTGTTCCAACCCCCCTGCCATGGGCAGGGACACCTTCCACTAGACCAGGTTGCTCAGAGCCACATCCAGCCTGGCCTTGAAGACATCCAGGGATGGGGCATCCACAACATCTCTGTTGTGATCAAGAGCATCAATGCACTTGTAAACACGAAGGAGGACCCTGACAGGAGCATGCAAAGCGCTCTGGTGCCATCACAGGCTCTGGTTTACGCGCCCAAGGACCATCCCCTTCGCGCCTGACACACTAAGCCCAATCCCTCTCCCTTTTCACCCCCTGCAAACCCCGCGCAACAAACTCAAACCCACCCAGGAAGTTTTACTTAAAAATTAGAGGTCACTGCAGTAAAAGATGGTGTATTTTCCACAGGGCAAGAGCAGCCCCTGGGTCCGAATGTCAGGTTTACGGCCTCTTTTAGAAAGGCTGTAACGTTCACGGCTCCAATGGCTGACTAATGGCTACTCCAGGGTGTGCCAATTATGTGCTTTACTTCTGCTGCATTACAGCAACTTTAAGAACAAAATTGCAGCCCGTGAGAGAGAATTAGATGAAGTAACCTGCTGTGAAAGGTTTGGTGGCTGCATATAAAATGTGAGGTGACAACAACGCTTGCAGGACACTTTCAGAGACGAGCCGGAGTTACCCTGCAACCTCTCTCGGCAAGCAGGTAACGTGTTGAACAACACCCCATATTCCCTTCTGACTTACTCGGTGTTTACAGATGCTTGTATGAGAGGAAACTTGCACCAGAAGAGACGGCACAGAGCACTTCTGAGGGAGCAGGGACATCGGAACAGGAACCGGCTAAACCGAACGTATCTGCCAGACACCAACAGGGTGTCACGGACCCTTCCACATCCAGACATTCCTACAGCTCCGAAAGGGTGTTTAAAATCCTAATTTAGATCTTCACCCGCATTCTTCAGGTGTCAAATCTCTCCCTAATGAGCTAATCCGCACTTTGCGATGCTCCAAACCCAGCTGTGGCTCACGGGCATGATGCTGCCGGGGTGCAGATCAGAACTGGAGCTGCAGAAACGACAACCTTCTTGTCATTCCCCGACACACGTGGACCTGCAATGGCATCGTGGTTAGAATGACGTTTCTGTTCTCTCACAGGATGCAGAAGCCCAGGAAGATCTTTGCCAAAGTCCTCCTGCTTGTCGTGTCCGTGGACATCTGCTTGGCCCAGCACTGGTCGTACGGCCTGCAGCCAGGCGGAAAACGGAACGCCGACATTCCGACGGACCCATCGCAGGAGGTAGGATCTAGGCTGCGCACCACGCTGCTGTGCTCGCTGGGATCCCTCTCTTTCCTATAGCATCTTTTACAGCTGTGACACAGGCTTTACTGTGTATGTGTAACTGTCTCCTTCCCCCCGACATACACACACACACACTTCACTGAAGTAGCAGTTGGGAAGTAACTGGCGTTTGGGTAAGACGGCGTTCGGCAGCCTGGCACAGCGGGCAGCGCTGCCGGCTGCAGCCAGAGAGCTCGGGCAGCTCAGAGGGAGGGATGGAAGTTCCAGCTCCAGGTTCAACCCAATTTCATCTTCCTTCTAAACCTCAGCCCATGCTCCCATGGGCTGGTTTAGGGCAACATTCACTCCCTTCCCTGGGAACGGGCAGCTGCCATGTGGTAACCCCTCAGGTAGGAAGCCATTAAATGACCAAGCAGATGGGGAAGGTTCTGTCTGCCGGTGGTTTTCCCATCCGTTCTAATACTCCACATGTAGTCCCTCATCAAACCAGAATGCCAGAACCGCTGCGAAGCTTGCTGAGGCACACGCTCAGCACCTGGGGACGAGGCGACTTTAGGTTGTGCAGGGAACAATTCCATCTGCATCCCAAACAAGGGTACAGTTGCTCTGGTAGAATAATCTCCCTCCACCAAGGCTGTATCGCTTCCCAATTCAGATTGGAAACGAAATGGAAGAGCTCGGGGAAGCGCAGAAGGCTGCCTGCCCTGGCTCCTATCAGCATTCCAGGGTCAGTGACCTGAAGGAAGCCATGGTGAGTAACGTTAATTCCATCACTCTGGGAAAGCGAGGGGACTGGTCCAGGCCGGGAAAGTACATGGAGGGAAGAGGAAGGTGGTGGTGGAGAAGGACGGGGGGGAAGAGGCACATGAGTTCAGTTCACGTGTGGCAATACTGGCTCTGCCCTTATATCCCCATGACTCCCAGAGTTACAGGCCTAGGGCAGGACTATACTACCCTCACACCCCCGCTGTAGCAATGCCAGCACTCGCCACGTGAAAGCCAAAGTAATGTCAAACACACTCTACCTCAACGCAAATCTGTGCGGCATTCACAGATGCTCAACTTCAAAGGCGCATTTTGCCAGCTGAAGGATCGAGCCATATGGAAGCTGCTGATCCCAAGGTCCCTGGGCTGGGAAATGTATTTTCCATTAGACGCTCTAACGCAGCGACGGCAGAGACTTCACATACAAACTAACTGCCACAGGAAGAACACCCTCAAGCAAAAATGTGCTCTTTAATTAATATAGCAACACCCTGGTCAGGCCAGATGCTCACTCTTAGCTGCCCCAGAAGTTGAAACAATCCGTATCTCATTCCTGAAGTCACGGCCGCACGTTTCGAGCGCTCACTCCCGCCTTTCACCGAGAAGCCCAGCCTGAGCCAAGGCTCACAGACCCATTAACAGCACCACAGGCAGGGCAGAGCCTCACTTCACGCAGAAAGCCACCTGAACTTACCAGAAAACATTTTTTAGGTCGTCTTTAATCCTGTACGTACTGAACTTGAAACGGAATCTTCATCCGTGTCCCTGGCTCCTGCCAGCACCACCTGCGGGATGAAGAGCCACCATCAGTAACCTCATGTTTAGACTTTCATTGTTCCTGCAAAAACTGTGTTAGGCAGGATGAATTCCCAGAGAAATTACCAGGATATGTTATTGAAATGAGCCCTGATACTTCTTGCTCAGAGGGAAACGTGGCCTTTGCAGAGCTGAGGGCACACCCTCTCCATCAGGTCCTTCGGTTTGCTCAAGAGCGGCTGCTAATCCTGCAGATAGGTGTACAAACTCCTGGCCTCGGCCTCAAACGCGTGCTTTGCACGGCCCGTTCCTGTAGCACCGTCTGAGCCACGCGGCCGCCTTACTTCCAGCTCATTAGTGACACTGAAAACAAACTGAGCATTTTCCAGGTGTGGCTTCTGCCATCTAACGCATTCCTGGAGTTGCTACAACAATAAGAAGCAATGAGCGGGGAGGTGTCTGGAAATGGGCCACCCCGTGGAAAAACCTCTCAGGTTCTCCTCGCGGTTTCCTGGCCAGGCTGGTGGGGAGCACAAACACGCACACCAAGCTAAGGCACGCAGGGCAAAGCCAGCATATTCCGACAGCTCGCCACACCAACGCTTTGGGCACGTTGTGCAGGTTCAGCTCCCGGCCTTGCCCGCGCTTGGTGTCCGGCCACGGCGGAGCCGCTCCAAGAGCTGCGGCAGTGGTGGCCCCGCTAACAGATACAGAGTTGGGCAGGCACTTTGGGGTGAAAAGGGCCATTCTGAGTGCCAGTTGGAGTATACTGCATGATCGATCCATGGGCAGGTGGCAGAGAGATCATGCTGGGGCAGATGTATGTCATCCCCCTTCCAATATTCGATGACACGAATATCCGAGCAGGCTTGAGAGTCCATCACCCAAGTTATTTCTTCTCTTTCAAAAAAAGTGTATGATGTGTGTTTACAGGAAAAGCTGATCCAGGGAGAAGCTCGACGACAGAAGATTTAAACCCACGATGGAACAGCGGACCCAGAACACAATTTCAAAGCTACGTTAAAATCCATTCTCCCCCAGACCCGCTGCTTCGATTGCTTTATGTAAATGAATGCTCTGAGGCTGTTCAAACAGCAGCAGGTAACTGTTGTGTATATCGCCGGCTTCTGTCGAAAAAGAGAACACATTCCAGTCCAGCGCCCAGGATTCAGGAGCAGAGGGTCTGCTTTGTGTCCTGCAGTGAAAACTGGGACGTGACAGCTTTTGTTTGGCAGCACAAGCAACGCCTGGACAAAGGCACTGTCTGATCTCCTGGTGTCTGGATGTAAGAGTAATACAGCTTTGTTACAAATCAATAAACCTATGCGTGGAATTAATTCCACTGCACTGGAGTAGTCCATGCATGAAGGACTTGCATATGCTCTTTTTTTTACTGGTTCACTCATAAAAACTACATTTATTTTAAAAAGGTATTTACAAACTTTACAACAGTTAATACATTTTCAAACCCATGAAAGTTTATACACCTTGCTTTACAGACGTAGTGATCATAGGTCATTACCCAGAGAGATGCAGACTCTCTCCCCACAGCTTAGCTCCTGCTCTTCCTCCGGAGCCACTTTAAAAGCTGTATTTTTTTGCTGATTCAATTGCAGAGGACTAAAATAAAAGGGGGGAGGGGGGTGTGGGTGGGAAGAGAAGGTATTCACAGTCTGTGGAGATGGGTTTAACTAAACCATCACATCTAGGATCCCAAAACACTCACAAAAACACCTTACACCACTTCCATAGTCTCCTGATTTAAAGACAAACATGTCCCAAGGTTATTTGTGTCATGAAACCTTTATAACACCAACAATGAAAAACTACATCAATGAATACCATCATACTGGGGCCGAATTTTAGCGCTGCCAAGGGCTTACACCTCTGTTGAAAAAATCCAAAGCCTGCAGACCATGCCTGGGCAGACCAGGTTCAAGGTATGCAGCCATCCATGTCCAGGGATTTCCATGGCAGCCTTGAATCCCAACAGTCAGACCAACACAGCGCAAAGAGATGCTTTTCACCTTTTTTAGGCTCCTCTGTGCACTCTCTAGTGCCCACACACTGTCCTAAAGATGCTTTAATGACAACAGGAGCAGGACTGGAGGAACCTCCAGCGCTTCTGCACAGCCCCTCTCCTGCCATGGAACCAAGGAAATCACATTATTTGTTCCCTTTGTCCTTCTGGTGCAGCCCTGGGAACAGCACACCCTGGTCCGCTAGATAACTTGGTCTGCAGCAGTGAGTGTAAGGCCGAGAAGCTTTTGATTAAAGCAGAGAGAGGGTAGCAGTAATGGGTCAGGAATGTTTTCACCATACAAAAAGAGATTACAGTTAAATTACAGACATCTTAAACTTCTTATTTCCATTTACAATTATAAAAATAAATAAGGAGAGCAAGTCTGAGCCGTTCCCATCCCAAGTCTGACTCACTGTGAGTCTGTGGAACACGCTGGGCTGCGTACCGCGACGGTTATTAGATGCGGGTTCTGAAAAGCCACTGCAGCTCACAGAGCTGTTCTCACTGGAATCGGTGTCCTTTCCTAATCCAATAATCCACTGCAATGGAAAGCTGTCTGTTTCTCTCTTCCCCTGATGTGGATTAGAGCCTGTAACATTTTTAAAGGAATTTATCACAGCATGACAAATTTTAATTAAAAGCTCCAGAAAACAAGGGTTGAGCATATTTCTCCAAAGGAAAAAAATCCTCTAAGACTCAAAATTTAACACTAGCTCTGAAGAGCACGGTATGAAATGGGATTACAGTCTGTCTTCTCTGCAGGCTGGATGCTGAACTTTGAGATTTGTTTTATTCAAAACTGTGAGTTGGGTAGAAACACTGCTGTTTGCCTCCACGGCTGGTATGCGGAGATGACATCATTCTGGGCTGTTCTCCTACTCCCATGTTTAGCCCTCCAGTTTAAAAGACATTAGATGCCCTTTCCAAAAGCATCTAAGGAACATGGGAAGACGATTCTCCTGAAAACAGAGCAGTGAGACCGCAGAGTGTCTCTGAAAGTGCAACCTCAGGAGTTAAATCAGGCAGGTCCCGAGCAGGACACACAAGCAGGGATCTGGTGGAATTTCCCCTAAGGGTGTGGGCACTTAACTCTACCTAATTAAAATCAGTCAGACCCCATCCTTATCCACACTTAAATGCCCAACTGATTGAAAAACCTGACACTTGGAGGACAATGCTGTTTTTCTAACCCTGGCAGGAAGCCCCAAATCATTCTGGCAGAGCACAAATTGCCCCTCGTACCTCTACGCACACTGTGCCGACTTCATCAGCCGAGAACGTAACGCCACTTACCACACTCAGGAACACAGTTCAGAAAAGGGAATACCTGTTTGTTAGAAGCGGGAAGAGTTCACCGTACTTCACACTCGAACAAAAATAAAGCTGAGAAAGAAAAAAACCCCAGCTTTCCTTTCCTTCCAGTTGGGGTGACACCTCAGCTACACCAGCCCCACTGCCCCGGCAGCAGCAGGACAGCCGCGCTGTGGGACAGCCAACGAGGGGAGCAGAGCACCAAGGAGGGTGCTCCAAGGAGGAAAGGGGGGGAGAGGATCATTAACTACCTAAATGCTACGGACTCTGTTCATAAACCTGGTCTATAAACCTGCCAAAAACCGCAGCCAGAACCAAGTCTCCCCAGGGTAGAGAGCATCATGGAAATGGTCATTAAAGATCAGCTAGAGGGTCCTGCCCGAGGTCAGACTTCACCCAGTGACTTCTCTTGCATGGACTAGTTCCTTCCTCCAGGAGAAAACAGCCTGCCGAATGCACAAGGTACAAGTTGAAGTTATTAAAGCAGATCAGAAAGGTAAGGAAATATGACCCAAAAGTCACCTGGAACTGAAATACTCAACCCTGACTGCCGGTTTGGTTACCCCTGACAAACCATTAGCTGGGATTCCTACACAGTTTCCTTTGCTCCTGCTGATTCACTGAGTGAAAAGCCAACCTTCTCCCGAAAGGAAACACACCCAGGAACGAGGTAACAGGCAGCCATGGAATGGAGAAAGGCACCAATTCACAACGGGTGGTGTGACCACGTCCCGTTCTACAACCCACCGCATCCCGCTGCTCGGCCTAAAGCAAAACCTTCCCCACGCCAAAGGTTCTTGCTCGAGTGAAGTCCCAGAGGGCCCTTTGCTGGCGTGTGCAGCAGAAGGCAGGCAGTGCCTACCAGAAGAGGAAGGAGTGAACACAAACTGAAAGACAAGAAAACCCTGTGGCTTTCGGGTCAAGCAGCATCTATGTCCCAGAACGTAACGCGGAGCTGACAAGCCCCACAATGCACCAGAGAGGGGGGAGCCATGGGCACATCAACCAGAAAGGCTTCAAAGATTCCCCCCGAGAGGGAAACAGCCTGGAGAGCTGTGTGTGCTGCAGCAGCCGCGGATGTGGGATGTGACGGCGGGGCACACAGGAATGCTGCGTCCACGGTCCATCTGCTTCACAAACAACGATACTTGGGTTGAATTTTCAGTCACCACGCCACTGCGAGGACAGGCTACTCCAGCAGTGTGCAACAGCCTTTGTCTGCATGGATCACATGAATTTAAAACCACTAAAACCTCAGATCACGTCATTTTTTTCTGTATACAAATAGGAAGACTGATCCTGACATCCGGACACAGCAGCGAATAAATAACAAAAAATCAAGCGGATTATCCCATCCTCCAAGTAAGAAAAGCTGTAGAGCTGGAGCAATCCAACCAACAGGAAACGATGTGGTTATCTGTCAAGTCTTCCCAGGCATCCCATCTCCAAGCGGGTCCTTGAAGTCTGGTGGCTGTTAAAAACCCTGATCAAGGGCAGTTATAAACCAAAGTGCAAGTACGGCCACAAGTGGGTGCAGGAGAACCAGGAGGGTGAGAATTATTTGCGTGAACTTGCCCAGCCAAAGTAAAAGTCTCCGTAACTATCAGACTTGGTTCCCGAGGTCAGGCTGCATAACCAGTCCTGCGCACTCCATGGGCCCAATGCCGCGGGTACCAGTACAGTGCTGGTACCACACAGGTCCCGTCCTCACCTATTCACAGCAGAGAAGTAACTTTTTACACCCTATGAAAAAGCACAAAGATGAAATACTGTAGCAGGTCCCAGGTGCGAGCACAAACCAGCAGGTAACGATATTCAGGGCAGAATATCAAGTGCTCCGCAGTGTTAAAACCAGAATCAACAGTGAGATCACGACAAAGTACTGGTGGACCTGAACCCTCCACGGGGAGCGAGCAACTGCCAGTGCTCAAGCAGGGACGGTGCAAGGCAGAGTGTCTGCACTTCATCTGAAATACACGTGGTGACTAGCAGAAAAAAACGTCTTACTCTGCTAACGGTGCTCAGGTCTCTGCCTGCAATCAAGAATCTTGGGAGACTGCACATCACCCACCAGCACCTGACACCTCGGGCCGTTTCACAGCTTGGAAATGGCTGCGATCCGCTCCACGTCACACAACCCAGGGCTTGGCTACGCTCTGGGGACAGGAGGGATCGGTGTGCAAGCGCAGCTGTAGAGTGTGATGAACTTGCGTGAAGATGTTGTAGGGCACATCTCGTACAGCGAGATGCTTCCAGATCCCATGCCGGTGTGGGTTACCTCGTTTCACACGCTGGTGCACACCACCACCGTGACAGTTACATTAGGAATGAGCTGCGGAAACTGCACCCGTGAAAAAACCCGGGACAGACCAGGCTAAGGTAAGGATTCCAGTCAGGCAACTTCTCCTGCCATGGGAGTAGTGTCTCAGTAGTGGAAAAGTAAACCAGAAGTTAGGGAATACAGCCACAATAATAGTTCCTTTTGGTATTTCCCAAAGAAAACTCCAAGGGGAGCAAATGGAATGCCAGGTGAGATCACTGTCTTCAGGCTCAGATCCCCAGCATGTCAGTAAAAAGAAAGCAGCCTTTTCACTCCAGGCGCTTGCTGCTACACCAGCACGTGATGATCCTCACTGCAGTC